AACAAGTTGAAATCAGAAATTTAATGTGAAGTACTAAATTTTCTAATAGACTTTTCCTGGATAGAAAGAAGAGACGGTACGACATGAGTTGTGTTGTATCAACTGAGAGTCTCGAGCCTTCTAAGAAATTCGAATAAACTTTTCGAACAAAAATTCGAAGGAACAATTTCAGCGCTTAAAATAAATAACACAAATTTTAAGATGACTTTTCTTCCTCGACTTGTGAAGTACTCCGGTATCAGTCTCGGTGCTACTTGAGGAGCCTCTCGTTCATTTTATAGTTCAATATTTGGCAACCGTCTTTGCAATTTGTTACTAGAGAAAGTTCTCCGTTGAAGAGAAGAAAAAGTACACTCAAGATACATCGAAACGGAATTATTTATTTTTATTATTTTCTAGCATTTAAAGTACTTTTTCCAATTTCATTCCAAGTTGTAGTTTTTCGGAAGTTTTAATCCAACGGGAAAAAAAAAATTTTATTCATTAAATCTTTCAGATTTGTTTTCGTTTTTCCAGTTGATTTAAGATAGGCTTAGTGAAGGAGGGTATGCAATTTTTCAGTTCTTGTTATATCCTTCGAAGAAGATACGAAGTGTCGAAACCGATAAATCTATCGTAAAAAATAGTTTTCCTTTATTATTTTTTATAACATTCCGTTTGTAGATATTTAACTAGAAAAGTTTTGCACATTTTATTTTGACCGCTCTCTAAAAACCAATGCTTTTTTTATATGGACGTGTTTGAAATAAGTTGATATTACTTTAATTATGTATAACTTTCATTCCATTCATGAGATTTAGATTTTGATTTATTAAGGAAAAAAAACAAGTATTTTCCCTTTGAAGAAATAATAAAATCATTAGAAACAAAAAAGTAAATTTTTCCTTTTATTTTTCCCCCCAGAAAAATCATTTGCTTAAGAACTTCTTTTATAAACAAAGGACCGTGTAGAGTGGTTAATGCACACTAAATCTTTCGTGGCTTAAAGCCTTTCCGTTGGAGTGGTATGGTAGTTTGGGTGGGTGAGCGAGGGGGATGCCAACTCAGGTGTTGCCCTCATTGATTGACCTTGGTTAAAAATTACGAGGTCCGTCACCAATAGCTCTCGTTTTGCATTACCGTGCAACTTTAATAATTCGTTGAATTTTAAAAAAAATTTCAAAGTTAATTATATTTTTGCGCATTGGTGGGTCTAAGTTCCTAGTACAACTGATATTCAAGTGTGCTCACGTGTGTGAACGAATTGCACAGGAGTAGCTAGTTCTGAGAGGGATTTGTATCTTAATTCCTTAGGAGTCCTCTTTCAGAGTTCCTCAATATTTTACGATTTTCTGCTTACACATTTTGGGGCCCCTAAAGTCTGAGGACTCCTTATCATCCATACGGAAGTAGTTACGCCCCAGACGAAATGCCTTTGAATATGGGAAGAAACAAATAATAAAAGCAAAAATACAAAAAAATTCACCATATATATATACGGGTATATATATCAAGTAGAGAGTTTATTAAAAATTACTCATAAATATATATATATATATATATATATATATATATATATATATATATATATATATATATATATATAGTCTAATTCTCTGCAAACGAGAGATGAACATCCATCATTCAAAACGGAAAAGCACAGAAACAGTAAGAAAACCACACATTAAAGGATACATGAACAATCGAAATTTTAAAAATGGATGCTGCAGTATTATAAACATTGCTGACTTAGGACAGTTTATATATAAAATAATTTATATAAAAGTGGGGTTGAACATGTTTTGTGGCCAGCCAACCTTCCCCCTTTATGTTAATAATACTGAGCAAAAACCTATTGAAAATAATGGATAGGAATGTCTAAATCCAATTCAAGATATAGGTAACTTACCTAAAATTTGTACTTAAAAATGCAGAGCCCGCTCTAAATATGAGTGTAATAAATAAGTTATTGCCAGATTCTGGACCCAAATGCACATTCATAGCATGTGAATAGCTGAATTGTAGCACTTAACAAAAGTTTGAAAATAGGAATAAAAATTTAAAAAAGAGATTACAAACTACCTCAACTTTAGTCACACTAGAGTTATATATGAGTTAAATAATAATAAGAAATTTTATCTAAGATTAGAATATGGAGGTAACTATAACTAAGAGAAATGATAAATTTATAGTAATAAACTATTATTATTCTAAGAAATTTTAATCCTTACTATTTAGGATTTCTTTATTCAAATAACTATTAATAAAATTAATTGGGTACTTCTGATTTAAGCAATATTTAGTAAAATGCTTATAGTTATTTATTTTTTCTGATTTTTTAGAAACTAGAAATTGATTGTGTTGTATATATATACACGTGGATACATGGAATTTCCTAATAAATCATCATGATTTTTTTTTCAAAGTTCCCTCACATCTACAAAACAGTATTTTTAAAAAGTCAGCTTTTCTGCAGTCTATCAGAAAAGATTACGGACGCTTTGATCAGATTGCTCTTTTAAACATTTAAAACAATTTATATACACTGTAATATTTTGTAAGAATTGCTATAACAAAAGATATTTGTTCCTCCTTTAACTATTAGATGGCGGTACTTGCGTTCAAATTGGAAAAACTTCCTTTCTGTGTGTGTTATATTAGTATTTTTAAAATCAGTGTCGAAATTCAGAATGTAATTTTATATTATAAATTTTTTAAAAAACACGATGTGACGGGATCAAAAATTTGACCAAACATATGCTTTGCTTCTTTTCCCCCCGTTCTGTTATTGGTTATGTATTATTTTTAATTTATTTCAGTTAAATGATGGAATTAGCAGTTTTTGTAAAGTTTTATGTGAGTAGACTACATTAGCTTTACAGTTTTCTTATTATGGACAGTTAGGACTGTAAGTTTTTATCGTGCACATTCCTTCTTTTTACGTCGTTATTGATTCCCGATTTTATTTTGATCTTATCTATTTCTTTTTTCTATCTTATTTGATATTGTGTGAACAACTTACAAAACACACAAAAAAAATTATTGATTAAGTTTACTTAAATAATTTCCTGAATAAAAATTCAATTTTAGGGTATAACCATAACCACAACGTATAAATTATTTTTCTATTTTTAAAAATATAGATATTAACTTTTTTGCTGTTTATAGATTTGTTTAATAAATTATAATAGAAAAAAACTAAAATTGCTCACGAAAAAAATTTTAATTAGAGAATTGGAAAGAACCGCTGAAAAGTTTACAAAAAGTTACAAAAATGTGATCCATTCCAAGCGAAATATTTACGAACAAATTTTCAATTTTTAAATATTTATATGTTACATTACTATTTCTTTCAGAAGTGATATTAAAGTTTCAGTGTGAGGGAAGAATTCTTTACAGTCATAAAATTTACAGGAAATAAGGCTAATATGGCGGTACTGACATTGTGAGAGCTATAAAAGCATCCATCACGTATTAGGTAGCTGGGTTATCTGTACAGATATGCGATGCTTTTCTTATAAAAAAGGTAACTTTTTCGAAAATTGAAGGGACTAGACGTACAGGGTGACCACTTACACGATGGTTAAACGATGTTGAAAGAGACCTCAAACTAATGGGAATCAACTGATGGAAGGTCAACGTGACTGATAGGGGCAATTGGAGGAGTATCAGCGAGTCAGCCTTGGCCTGCAAAAGTCTGTTTGAGCTTATGAAGAAGATATTAAAGTTAAAAAAAGGAAATTTTTACTTAGTTACTATATGAAATCGTTTAAAGAGAAATGCCTGTACTCATAAAAAATGTTGTAAATTTTAAATAATTCAGTGATTTTTTTTGAAAAAAATTAAGTCAGAGAACTTATGTATTACACAAAACATACATAAAAACACATACAGTAGTCAGAGACTCCGTTTCAAGTTTTCCGAAAAAACTTATTTTGCGTAAAACGCATTTTAATTTCGGTAACTATATATTGGAAATAGCATTCACACACACACACTGCAACTAAACTAGTAGTAACTTTTGTACTAATAAACGGGAGATAGAAAACCGTGGTATTATTATAAACCTTGTAAATCCACAAAATTAAACGATAAAACGTTTTCGTTTCGTTCTTAAATAGTGGAGTAATTTAAGGTCAAAAGATTGTGGAACACAAAGTGATGACGAGCGTTTAGCACTATTACTTTCAACAGTAATCTTTTGAAACGTATTTCTTTCCCTTTAGAAAATGCGATAACTTTAAGCCCACGAACTGTACTTTTTAAGTGCAAAACTAAAAGAGGCAGAATCGTTTTTCGATTTTGTACCACATCAGGGTATTTGGGATAGGATTATATTCCAAGCCCAATAAAGCGAAGTAGAGTTCACTCTCTTCTGCACTTATTTTCGCAATTTATTGAGAAGTAAGTTGAATTTAGGAACTGCTTCGATATTTTTCATTACAGAAGAATGATTTCAAATCAGATAGGGAAAAGTCTGAAATTATTTCTTGCGTTTATATTACAGTGGTTGGATAGAATTCTCGGATAGTTTTTAATAGTAGTTAGAAGTAAAGAAAAAGTAATTTCCTTGTAAGCAATATCGTCTATTTTAGTGAAAATTTAATTGAAAAGTTGAGGGTTCTTCTTGTATGAAAATCTACTTTATACCTCCTTGAAATGTTGTTTCTTTTAATGTGCATTACATTTATTACTGAACTTTCATTTTCTTTTTAAAGAGATTTTTTGTTATGGTTCAGAAATGTTTATTTTTTGGAAATATTCATAGTAAACGGTTAATATAATTTTTTTTTAAAAGTCAATTCCTACTTAGGTCAACAAAGACAATTTTTTATTTTAGTTATTTTTTTATTAAATAATTACAATCAATATAAATATGTATATACATATGACACAATCACAATATTAAGTGGCAAAATGAAAAGCTATTTTCCCTTCTATGTATAGTGTGTGTTGGGATATTATTATTTTTTTTTACTATTTATTCATTCATTCGTATATCACACTCTCAGAAATTGGGCCATCCCAGGTAGGATTCGAACCTACGAGTTTTGGATTAGAAGTCCAATGCGCTATTCATTGCGCTACTGGGACATAACGAACACCCTTCCTTTTTATATAGGGTGTTCGACCATTTTGTTTGTTACTACTTATTCATTAACTAAATTTAACCAATGAATTAATATTTGAGAAAACTGTATTAACATCAAATGTCATCCACTACAAGTTTAAAAAATGGATTTGAATTTGAATGGACGAATAGAAAGTATGTTATTAGCAACTGAAAATTTGAAATATATATATAGGGAGATCGCGAACTAATAGTAGGAATTGAATAAAATAGTTTAATTCATCATAATAATGCCATATTATTGCATATGCAGATATTGCTTGCATAAACTTATTAAAGGATTGGCTGCTTTTGGCCTAATATATTTAAGGTTTTTAAAAATCTCGGGCAAACAGTGAAACAAATGCGTACTTTTTCAATGTTATAATTAATTTTATGTGAAAAAGTCATGAAGATATTCAATAACATATTATATTATGACAATATGCCCACTTCGAAATGTAATGATACATTAAAATGTGAGGTGTTAACGAAATGAGCAAATAAAAGAATTAAATAAGCAGAAAGGTAGTACATTCCATTTATGAACCAAAGCAGTTAATTCACTATAAAATAAATTAAACAATATGTTTAGTACTTTATATATATATATATATATATATATATATATATATATATATATATATATATATACACTCTGTCGCAAAAAATATATGCACCCAGAAGAAATTGAGCTACATTCACGAAATTTGGTATGCATGTAGTGTATATGAAAATAAACAAATGATTAAAAATTCAGAACAAAATATCATTTTATTAAGCGGTTACAGCTTGCAAAAGGTTAAAAATCAGTAAGTAGTAAAGCCACCTCTGGCAGCTATACAAGCCGAAATTCGGCGTGGCATCGATTCAATTAGATCACTTATGACCCCCTGGGGAAGCTCCTGCCATAGTCTTTGCATCTGCGCAGTTAATTCTCCTGTATCTCGGGACGGCTGCAGTTGCCTTCCCAACGCGTCCAGACATGCCCTATTGGCGAAAGATCTGGTGACCTGGCAGGCCATGTTAGGACGTCATATCCTTGAAGACATTGTTGGGAGAGTCGCGCAGTATGTGGACGAGCATTATCCTGTTGGTAAATGGCACCTGGGCGACTTGATAGCATGGGTAGCACAATCGGCGTTAAAATATCGTCCACGTATCTGCGAGCTGTCAAAGTGCCTTGAAGGACCACTAAAGATGATCGTGTGTCCCAAGAAATTGCTCCCCACACTGTCACACCTTGTGAAATTGCTGTATGCCGCTCGACAATAAATGCCGGATCGGACCGCTGGCCGGTGCGCCTCCAGACACGTGTGCGGTGGTCATCATCACTGAGACTGAATCGGGATTCATCACTGAAGATGACACGTCTCCAGTCTGTCACACTCCAAGTTGCCCGAGGTCGGCAAAAATCCAGTCGACACTGCCTATGATGTGGGGTCAGTGGTAAGCGTCTTAGCGGACGTCGGCTCCTCAAGCCAACTTCGGTCAGTCGTCTCCTTATGGTTTCGCTTGATGGCACTGGATGTCTGGAAGGAGGTAAGTGGCGTTGAATCGATGCTAGCGACGTTGTTGGTGCCGAAGTGGCCACTCTTCTGATTGCACGATCCTCGCGATCATTTGTGTTCCTGGGACGTCCTGACCCTCCGCGACGGTACACTCTACCTTCTGTGATCCACTGTTGCCAACACCGAGCATCTACCATATCGCTCTGACCGAGGTGGCAGCCGATACGTCTATTCGACCAACCTGCTTCTCTGAGGCCTATTATACGGCCCCTATCAAAGTCCGTCAGCTGCTCGTACTGCCGCCGGTTACGTCTTAGAGGCATCCTAAGTCTCAATATCGTCTATCAAAGTCATCAGATTCGTTTGGATAGCCGTACGGCGCTCGTACTCATGCTTTTAAACTCTCCCAGTTGCGCAACTAATATGCGCATAGCACACTTAGGCTTGTCTCATTGGCTTCGAAATTTTAATCATTTGCATATCTCTTACCAGACTACATTCTTGCCGAGTTTCGTGATTGTAGCTTGATTTCTTCTGGGTGCATATATTTTTTTGCGAGAGAGTGTATATATATATATATATATATATATATATATATATATATATATATATATATATATATATATATAATACTTTTCAATGAATTCCATGAAGCTAATTTTAAAAGAATGTTTTACGGAATTTTTCCAGGGTAACAAATATTTTTAGTACTTTTAATTATGATTTTAACTTCGTTAATATACAGGGTGATTATAAAAAAACTTTGTCAACATCTGCACTTCAAGCGTCCGTTCTATTTAACCGATCAAGATGATATTTCAAATAAAGTTCTTTTGAGATATGCGCTCGAGATTCTGTGAATGGCAACACAGTGGCCCTCGCGGTTACAGTTATAGTGACAGAAACTCGAAATTTTCGAATGGCAACACCCACTTTTTACCATCGCAAAATGTTCAGCACATGCGAAAACCCTAAATAGCGTTAAAACGGTACCGATATGTCTACAAACGGACGTGTTATGCAAACACAAAAAGAGTTCTGAAAACCGGCCAATAAAACACGATCTGGGCGCACGCAATAAATTTGCATATGACAGAGTCAAGATACCAATCACAGAACGCCGGTCGCCAGATATTCAGCGTAGGAAACCTATAAAATACCAAGCGGGTATGTGAAGTCGTCATTCGGGAACTCGCACATGCCGACGATATGGTTCTTCCTGGGAAAGTTCGCGGTGAATTGATCAAACTCTATTACCAAAATGGGATGAACGCTGCGGAAGCCTTGCGTGTGTATCACCGCAATCATCGACAACGACGCGGCCCAGGTACTCTGCAAGCTCTGCGTGATTTAGTGCGGAAATTCGAAGATACAGGCTGCACCTGTAACAAACCTCGCTCCGGACGGCCAACTGTTTCTGAGGACGTTGTCATGGAAGTGCACCATACAGTGACTGCAGGACACACAGAAAACGCAAGAGGCATAGCGCGCGTGTTGGATATTCCGAACTCAACGGTCCGCAAGCTCTTGCGCTCGGTACTTCACATGTTTCCCTATCGGTTCAAGCGCGTCCAGATGTTGGAGCCGGGTGACCCACAACAACGTCTGGACTTCGCAAATGAATTTTTGTTACGATATGATGCGGATAACAACTGGCCACTTCGCATATTATGGACGGACGAGGCGCATTTCACCTTAAATGGCAGCATTAACACAAAGAATTATGTGCACTGGGGAGAGACGAATCCTCACGCTGTGGCGCCAGTACCATTATTTGACGCCAAAGTGACTGTGTGGTGCGGCATTACAGCTGCATTTGTTCTGGGCCCGTTCTTATTTGAGGAAACGACCCCGACTGGCCCTGCAACATGTTCTGTAACGGGCTCTCGTTACAGAACATGCCATAATTTTTCAGCCATGCTGAAAAATTATGTCTTACCGGAGTTGCGTCGGCGGAATGCACTCAATGACATTGTTTGGATGCAAGATGGCGCACCTCCACATATAGCGAGGTCTGTTAAAAGGCTCCTGGATCAGCATTTTGGTGATCGCATCATCTCACGCTATTATCCTTTTCCGTGGCCTGCGCGATCCCCAGATCTGACGCCTATGGATTTCTGGTTTTGGGGCTATCTCAAATCCACAGTTTATCTGTGCAATCCTCAAACATTGTCGGACTTAAAGGATTCTATACGGCGTGAGATTGGAAACATCCCTCGTGCCATGTTGCGTGCAGCGATATTGTCCACCGTCTCCCGCATGCAATGCGTAATTGCCTGTGATGGCACTCATGTGGAAAATGTTTGAAATTAATACAGATTTTTTTTTTCTCTATGTGTTCTCATCATTGAGAAGTGTCTTGTCTCTGTCGTATGCGTTATTCCTCCGTGCGTCTTGAAGAACTGTTTGTATGTGTATAACACGTCGGTTTTCGGACATATCGGTGCAGTTTCAACGCTATTTAGGGTTTTCGCATGTGCTGAACATTTTGCGATGGTAAAACGTAGGCGTTGCCATTCGAAAATTTCGAGTTTCTGTCACTATAACCGTAACCGCGAGCGCCACTTTGTTGCCATTCACAGAATCTCGAGCGCATATCTCAAAAGAACTATATTTGAAATATCATCTTGATCAGTTAAATAGAACAGGCGCTAGAAGTGCAGATGTTGGCAAAGTTTCTTTATAATCACCCTGTATATAATTACAAGTATTCAGTTACTGTCCGTAATATCAGTAAAATAGAGAAAGTTTTTATTATTGTACGAAGAGTGATCATTCAAAACCTTAAAATCATTTTTTTAACCATAAAATACATGGAATTTTTTTTAAAAAAAATTCTTATTTATTACATACATTGACATTACTAGAGTCAAAAAGTTCCCGGAATGGTCCCCTATATTCATGCAGGTGTCCTCAATAGGGAAAATATTTCTTTCTGGGGTTGGCAGCACTGATAAGGAAAGCACAGGGCCATCTGAAATTCCTTTCCTGTACTGTTGGCGTTAACTGCAGATCGTTTCTGACAAACCGAATTTTTTATTCGTCGGATTTTGCAATGTCGTGTTTGGAGCAGCGGGCAAACATCGAATTCTGTATTTTGCTCGAGAAGTCACCTGTGAAGCTCTAGATGCTGAAGAAAGCAAACTAGAGGATTTTTACCTGATTCCATGGCTGAAAATGAAATTGAAGGGACATTGTTTTGTCGATTCAAATGAAGTGATCCAAAATGCGATGAAGCTACTGAAGAATCTCTCAAGAAAATGGATTTCAGGAGTGTTCTGAACAGTTATACGAAAGCTGGAGCGAGTGTGTGGAAGCAGGAGGGCAATATATTGAAGGTCAATAAAATTTAATTATTGTCTTATTTTTTAAAAATTTGTAATTGACCTATTTCGGGAAATTTTTGACTTTACCTTGTCTTCCTGTAAGTTATTTTTCTATCTTTCGCTTTGCCTTTTGTCCCTAATGGAAAA